TGATGGGGTGGCTGGAATATTTTTTGACATAAAGGTTGTTTAAGAACTGCTAGGTAAGGTAATCAGTAACAAAAACATTTCCATACAAAGCCTTAGTTATTACTGAGGCCAGATTAAACGTACTAATAATTAAGTAAAATTGTTTATACATGATTTTCTAAAAATCAATCTGTCTATGATTATTATTATTAGAGAATGAGAATTCCAAATATGGAATGATTACGCGCGTAAGCGTCCTTTATGATAAAAACAAACATGACTGCCATCAGGGTAGGACTGGACTCCACACAGAGAAGTTCGCTGATTCTGTTCTAAACATTTTGGATTTCGGCATTCCGATGATGTGTCCTTGGAAGGAAAAGATGTATACTTATATTACGAGGATACTCCAAAGTATGCACAAAGACAGTGCACCGTCGCATCGACCTCCGCTGTGCATCGGTCGATCCTCCTGATGTACTGTCTTTGTGCATACTTTGAGGTATCCTCGTAATGATCTCATAGTATTACATTTACTATTTATTTGTTACAATAATGTATTAAATTATGTATATGGAGCCGACGGTTTGTTCGAGATTAAAAATAGGTTACCATTGACAACTTGTATATTTAGCAATGTGCAATAACTAGATATCTGCGTCTTCAGGGTAGATTGTATTGTGCTTTTATTGATTTCCAGGAAGCGTTCGACACCACACCATGAACCACAACTTATTTTTTTCAAGCTTACAAATTTAGGGTTTAAAGAGCAAACTATTTTGTGTAATTTACTCAATTTATTACAATGTAAAATCCTGTATCCTCGCATTGAACACTAACACTCAGGAATTTACATTACTGCGTTGTTTTTAGCAGCACAATCGCACGTCTACAACGCATTTTAAATAACTCGTATTTTTGTGCTTGAAAATGGAAATTAACAGAAAACTAAAATTATCTTTCGGAAAAGCGGGAGGTTAAAAAACTCTGAAAAGGGTTTTTTAATGGGTCTAAAATAAGCAAATAAGCCATATTTGTTGTAAAACAGTTCTCGTGAAGTTTGGTTGTCTAGATCCAAATATGACCTTTAAAATATTTGATGCTAAACTATTACCAATTAGTACTTACGGCGGTGAAATCTGGGGGTTTAATGATGGCAATGACACAATAATTGTTTGTCATTTTGTCCTCGGGGTTCCTACATATGCTTCAAATGTAACAGTTCGTGGTGAGCTTGGTCGTTATTCCCTTCGCTCTTGCAGACCTTTTAAAATTGTGAAATATCCGCTGACCCATTTATCAATGCCTGAAGTCGTATTGTACATTATTGTTATAAGTATGAACGTGATGAGGCAGAAAAGGGGAAACAATGTTGGGCTTTGAAAGTTGAGTACATATTATTTTGATTAGGATTAAGGGAAGTTTGGATCAATCAAGGGATCGGTAATGCTTTTGTTTTTATTAATTCGTTATGGTAAAGATGTTGGGATATGGATATACAAGATTGGCAATCTATTGTTCTATCATCGTCCAAATTAAGTACTTATGCCAAGTTTAAATTCAGTTTTGGCATTGAAATCCTGTGTCTTGATCAAATGCACCTCAGAAAGTCACAGATTTCTGCTCCTTATCTTAAAATAGAGTCAGGTCGCCACCAAAATATTCCCAGGGAGTTCAGAATTTGTGATTGTTGTAGGCCTATCCATATAAATTGAGGATGAATACAATTTTTGTCTTATATGCTCTTTCTACAGTGACCTTAGAAGTAAATATATTCTAAAATATTATTATGAACATGCATCCCATTTGAAATTTTCTTTGCTGATTCAATCCAAGAACATAATTGATCTGCGCAATCTCGCAAAATTTATCTTGCAATGAGAAAATAACCAAGCATTTTGTTCTAATTGTGGGCGTTTGTACACTACTAACTTAATTATATATTTATTATATAAATATTTGAGTGCCAGATTTTTTTATGTACATCATGTATTTATTGTATGATGTAATATTGTTATGATGTAATTGGCTTTAACATTGAATAAAACAATTTTATATGAAAAGAGTAGTACTTTCTAACAGTTAACATTACTTGAAATTAATTATTTAAAAATAGTTGTTAAAGATCAAAATCAGCGTAAAAGGGTAAATATTAAGGTATAATATTGAAATTTGTTCTCTTTATAACGTGATTATTATGCATAATTATATATGCTACATTAAAACTTATGAATGAAAAGAAAAAGGAGAAATAAAATTTGGTAAACAAAACTTTTTTTGACAGCACGATCCACATTCCATGATACAGACATTAGATGAACTGTATTTCATGATTGGTAAATCACACAGAAGGATGTTGTCACTAGTGCGCAATCTGTGGTGTCACAAAACGCTGTCAGAGATCAGTATGACACCGTGGTATATAGTATATACACGCCAAGCAACAATGGCGAGAACGCCTCTGCCCAATTGCCTTCAGTTAAAATATCTAATATCTTAGGAACATTTTTGTAAGGGTGTGATATGAATCTGAGTGACCTAATCCACGTTATATAATCATATACGACTTATGGTATCACACACCAGTCCTATTGAAATTGTACATGTGATCTCATGCATTAATACTATAGGACTTCCAATGTAAATCCATCCATGGCCCGTTCGTTCGTCAGAGTGAATCAATAAAATTATAACGAGTAATTCGAAAGTGTATAGTCATTTATTTGTAGGCACATTTTTATCATTTTAAACCTTTTTAAAATCCGTCGAACTAAAAACAAATTTTCCATCCTATGATCTCCGTGAACCACAGTAAATTGTGCATGTTCGATCCCAGCGTTCAATAATCTGTATAAAAAAGTTCACACTGTATTCGAAACATCTTTGATGTTTCTCAAGGCCTATCACAGCTTTCCCACAGTTTTCGGGACGTAACTCTGGAGTAACATTCTTGTAAACAGGAAGTGGAGTATTTGAAGAGCTGTTGATAAATTGACGAATCATAGAAAGCTCATAAACACCAATGAAATATTTGATGTTGTACATAACAAAGGAGTTTAGCACTAAACACTGCACTGGAAGAGTTGTAAGTTGTAGTTAATATAGCTATGCTACTGGTCAAGTACCACACAAAACTTCATGGAAAATGTTTATGTATTTAATTACATACTATGTGGAAACACACTGTTTATTGTTACTTATCCAAGTAATTGTCATATCGGGTAAATATGTTCAAATTAAGAACAAAATCAAAACCTGATGACAGTCACAAATTGTGATTTTGCAAATCTGGGAATATGAATTTCTCTCGAGCAACAGGATGACCAATATATAGAAGGATGTTCAACCGAACTGTGAAAGCAGGCATCAGTTTTCATTGTTTCCTATCGTGTGATTTGTTCGGCGCTCCCTGAAAGCGACGATACAGTACACAAAAGCAGCCACAAGATTACATACGGCGCATAGATAAAATACTATCCTAAAACTGCCAGTGCTATCATATATCCAACCTGTCGGCATAAAAAAAACAATATGGCATTGTCAGATATATCATTAGGAAAACAAACATTATCAATCGAATATATAAAGATCTTTTTCACTAGTAAATGGCACGCTCACTCAACAAAAGTAGCGTGCAACTATTGGCTATGGTGGTTGTACATACCACAGGGAATTGGACAAACTTATGTATTTTAATAAATTATTAAATAATAAAATGTTATATAACTTTTCTTTTACCCCCCCCCCCTTCCTGGTATCGATTTCAAGTAATCACTGATCTTTGTTTATGCCACTCTTTCCTTTATCACAACCTTTGTTACGCGCTAATGTTATATGCAAATATTAACGTGCAATGTAGACACATCCTATTATAGTAAAATATCCCAAGGGTTAAAACGCGCCAGGACTGTGGCATAAAAAGTTATATAACATTTTATTATTTAATAATTTATTAAAATACATAAGTTTGTACATACATTCAAATTACTATAACAAAATTGATGCTGAAGAAAATATTGGGCGGTCAGGTGCGCAGGAATTAATTTTTGCAAGTCTGCTGTTTCGTTGTCATCAGGACGCAGCCTGATGTTTGTTGCTTTCTTGATTGGTCAATTATGGATACAATTTGTGTGGTGTGTGGAAGATGTGTTGATTGGTTGTTGGTCTATGAGTTCAGAAACATGTAGCTTAAAATGATACGTTTTTAGATCATGAGAACTATAGCCATTGAATAGTATGTCAGAGGAAAAAAGCTATGTTGAACAAAATGTATTAATTAATCCTGGCAATAGTTCAATTTCTTTTGAAAGCAAGTTGTGCCATCAAATCTATTCGTTGTTATGCTTGTAAGGTAAATTCTTGAAATGTATTAAAGCTTAAATATAAGAATATAGATTGTAAACTATGAACAAAAGCGTCCAACAATATATATTGTATTTGGTGCAAAGTATTATTGACACTCACTATCTTAGTTTGGGGTATTCTTTTTTAAAGTAATAGCCAGGGCTCTTGATATGGTGTATTTTAATGTATTTTGCGTTCATTTGTTAATTTACAATTTTTAGAAGCAGAATTTATGCAAGTGTATTGTAACAACGGCTTAAGTGACTGTCAATTCTGCCATATCTCCTCTCCACTATTGCTACTGATGCAACTATGCTCATTAGTGATTTTTATGAGATAATTACATCTGTAATTGAGTGTTTCAGTATTTTTGTGTACAGTGTGTGTATGCCATTGTGGAGAAAAAATCCATCAAGCGAAATATACTATACAAACTATAAAGCAAATTAGTCATAAATCTGGTGACTTTGCCCTTTGGCAGACACCATTATTTCATTTATTACAGTAACTATAAATTGGATGATAACTAGACATATTTTCACGACAGGAATGCACGACCCATACCGTTATGTCACATACTGGCTACTCATGAAAAAATAGATTAAAACAGTTTGTGGGTTGAGACCTCATTGTTGTTGAGTAATATTGCATATTCGATGTTATTAAAATGTTTAATTTCAGGAAAGAATAGATTCATATTGAGATTCACATTGGCAGTTAGGAATAGGAACAGCAAATTCGTGTACTTGTGTGTTTAAATTCGATCGTATCTTACCTCCAAACTGTGAGCCTAGAACTCCCGCAACTCCGGTTACTAATAACGTTGTTGAATTTGCAAGTGAATAATTTGTTACTCCTACCATTACTTTCAAACAGACATAATGTACAGGAAAGTATATGCCATCACAAGCTCCAATAAAGACACACGCAACAATCAACACAGGGAACATGGTTGTTGAAGCAATCGTTAGTTGCGCAATTCCCGTAATAAGCATAATGATCGGCAGAATGCAGATTGGTCGTATATAACCCCTATCAACAACCCATCCTTGAACAAGTCTGATTGAGAGGCTGGCAATGCCTACTGCTGTAACTAGAAATGATGCTTTCAGTTCTGGAATTCCAATATCAACTGCATAGGGCATGATGAGTGAGAGTAAAATTATAAAACTTATGCCTCCCGCAAAGATGCCCAGTATCATCAAAGCAAAATTATGGTTTGTACACAACAGTTGAAAGCCAAGGCCATGAAGTATTTTTTTAAAACGACCATAATGTATTCTGTCCGTGTTTTTCTTTTCTTGTTCTTGACTAGTCACAATGATTGGACGCATAACAGCAGCACATGCAAAAGTATTTGCGTTGATTGCGGATAAAATTATAAACGATCCCCGCCAACCGTATTTACTAACAAAAAACTGAGTCATCGGTGGAAAAATAAAAAAACCCAGGCCAGTCCCAACACAGGCAATCCCAGTTGCAGAAGCAAAATGTTTGTCAAAGTATTTTGACAGAATTGGTAAACTCGTGGCTAGCAAAAAACCATGACCAGTACCTGTAAGTATTAGAAAAACAAATAAAAGTTATGATTTAAATCAAACCTCCATAAGAACATTTACAAACAGCAAGTAATCCCATTGGAAAATTGGTATCCTAGGTGCTAAAAATTAACATGACTGAAACGCACGTTCTAATTGAGAGAAATCATGGATTAAAATACAATTATTGTGCAGTGAATGTGGTACAACAGTTTTGCCTACGCGTCTTTCTACACACATTAATTGTAGACTTGACAGTGTTACATACATGCATTCACTGCAATATATTTAAGTAACGAAAGAGCGATTTTCTCTAAAATATTATAACAACTGAAATAATCGATGATAATAATAATACAGACAATGCCTACCTGTTATGGCACCATATGATATGTACAGATAATACATATTGAAAGCAAAGGAACTCAGGAACAACCCAATAGTTGATAATGTAGCGCCTATAAGCATAGTAGGCCTTGTACCATATCTGTCATTTAAGTAAATACCAATTGGACCTGTCAAAATATACCATATGATTGATCTTTATTATACTAAATTGCATGTTATAGTGTGTAAAATTAACCCTAAATCATTCACGAGAATTGAAAAATATACTTTATACGTACCTATGAAAAACATAAATCCGAAATACAAAGAGGTGACTAAAACAATCTCACCGACAGAATTGTTGACCATAGTTGATTGCATTGCAACGATGAGTACACCGGCATGTGCATAGACTCCCATTGTCAGCATACGAACTGTCAGACTACTACAAATCACAACCCACCCCCATCCACCATCTGGGGGTTTGGCGTACGTCTGTACTGGGTTCGTGAAACAAGTCATTTTCTTACTGTGGTATAAAAAGCATACAATAAGTATTTTTTTTTTCATGTACAAAGAACGCACGTCTCCAGTCGCATGTCATCTTCAGATGCACTATGGTGATACAAGTCATGACGTGAGGTGGACACTTCTAGAATCGGATATAGAGATTTGTCAACGATTTCTATCTATACAACATACACAACCATACACAGACAACTAGTTAGGTAATAACTGTGAACATCAAGTCGTACACAGTGCGGCGCCATGAAGGTAATATTTGGTCAACAAACTTATGATGCGAGATGCAACATTTTCCAAATGCAAAATTTTGTGAGATTTTTTGTCTCGGCAAGTTGTGTTATGACTTCTTCTTTTTAACTTCTTTTTAGGTTTTATAACAAGTAAAAATGCAATAATTACAGCTATTTATAGCCTAGATGGAATGAAATGTAGTACAATTTTAAGTACTTGGCTGAGCTACGTTTTTTAATATATTTATTATGTACATTTTCTTGGTATTTATTCTTATTTTTCTGTAATTTTGGTGATTTCTATATGAGCTAGTTCTCGAAATAAAGTATAATAAAAATAAAAAAAAAATATGTCGTTAATTGTATAACATCTCGTGATATATCTGACTACGGCGGTGGTTTGGTCATTAAATGATATTACATAATTTGTTATATTTATTGTAGCTTCATTTGGTAAACCTATTTTTATTCTGACTGACACCTAGGCCATACATAGGTGAACATAAGCAAGTGATCCTACTTATATTTAGTGGTTTGCCCTATGGGGAACATTTTTGATTGGTCACTTTTTAATATCTGCAGCCAAATACAAAATTGAATACAATGCAGTTATATATTCGTGATAATAACAGAATATATGTCACTGAGACCAGCTACTAGTGTGTGCTATGCTGCCAGGGTCCGACTGTATACCGACGATGTATATACAATTGACAGACGAAGCAAAATACCTTCTCGAACCCAAAACGCCGCGAAAGCACGGCTACTAGTTTACTTTCCCTTTGACTATTTTATAGACTATTATAAAACACGACAAGCCTGACTGAACTGTATCCACAGACAAAACTGGGGTTAAGATATAACAGCCAAGTTGAAAGGGAAAAGACAGCCTTAATTGTAATTTTAATGGGGACATTATATATGTCTCACACAGCATAGTTTTGGCCACCTTAGTTTATATAAAATACTCGAACACTGCCGACTTGTCAGGCTTGTCAACTCATGGCGAAGCCTCTACTCACACGTTTGCATGGATCTTCACTCAATGGTGTGGTTTCACAAATGCTAACGCCAGGTACTTACTTGCCTCAGACTACGTGTACATATCGTGATTAGACGGTACGGTTGTTACAAGAATCGCCCGGAACTGTACACACTCCGTAGACATCACCAATGTGAAAGGTCATCTTGGTTACTGAACTCTTGTTTTTGTTTGACCTTATTGTGGGGCGCCCTCAGCCGTCCAATTATAACAGATGTTACTTTTCTCACTCTTTGATGCTGGAATTCCTGCTATTTGCAGATACTAATTACTTATATGGAATCAATTGAAACACAAAATAATCCCAAGTCCAACTAATACAACTGGAGTACAATGGGTTTGACATACGGAATCCATGCAAAATATGTGGTAAATGACGGCGAAACGAGTTCAGAAAAGAACGCACATGGGATTCGTGACTTTTTATTGCTAGTGTGTTATCTTTTTGTTACCACATTTTATATTAATTAATTATATAAAATCTGTCTTACTGCTGAGTTTTTAATAGATTACACTATAGTACAATATTTAATGTTGAGTTTTATCACTGGATGTTAAATGGAAGAGAACAAATGTCTGAGCCGATGTATATGTTTATGGTATTATCAGGGGGAAATTCTCTTCTCTCGGGGTCTCCACACTTGTCAGGGGGGGGGGGGAACTCGTCTCGTCTCTGTATCACGTCCCCTTGAGGTACGGGATCGGGAAAGTCACTTTAACTTTACAGTCAAATAAGACACACACAACGGAATACGTTTCAACTCTCGTCTTAGTCGATCTTTTGGAGCACTCTATAAGACACAGCGCCCTGGGGAAAAGTCCCCAAGACTATATCGCAAGGCTGACCCAAGACTCTCTTAGACTGCGTCAAGGCTCGCCCCAAGTCTCTCCAGGACTGCCCTGTCGTGGAGTATTCGCCAAGACCAACTCAAACTCTCTTTATTCATTTTCAAAACTCTAACCAATTACAAAGCAGTAAAAAGACTCTAAGGCGTAAACTTCAATCATAAAGCCAATCAAACTAAGTACTGAATACTGATTAATCGTTCACTACATTAATAACTACGGATGTCAGAATAGCGACGGTATCTTGTAATTAGTTCCAAACCACTGAGCCAAGTTCCGTCCAAAACTTCAAATAGGCCCACACGATGACAGACATAACACAGCAATTCGCTAATAATCAGCTAATTAAGTCGGTTAACAGATACGCAAAAACAAATTCATGACAGTATTCCACGAAAGTGAATAACAGTTGAGTGTGTAGGAAACAGCATATATACTTTATTTGTAATTAAAAAGTGCGAATTGCGATCACCCATTTTGTTCATATTCGAAATAAGTTTATTTAAGTTCGCCATCATGCGTTTACTGGGAGAAACTGTTCATAAATAACATTTTCCTTGGGAGATACTTTTCATATTTATTTATTTATTTATTTATTTATTTATTTATTTATTTATTTATTTATTTATTTATTTATTTATTTATTTATTTATTTATTTATTTATTTATTTATTTATTTATTTATTTATTTATTTATTTATTTATTTATTTATTTATTTATTTATTTATTTATTTATTTATTTATTTATTTATTTATTTATTTATTTATTTATTTATTTATTTATTTATTTATTTATTTATTTATTTATTTATTTATTTATTTATTTATTTATTTATTTATTTATTTATTTATTTATTTATTTATGTCAAACTGATGACAATAAATATCCTCGAAAATATTCTAACATGATGTACTTGATTGCAGAATCAAGGGCCCGTTAAAACCCACATGGGTTACTGGAGTGGACAATTTATTGCGTTTGTCTATAACTGGTATGCACCGGAAGTGATCAATACAAGAGTTCATGTATAAGTTGTATGTAAGGTTTAAACATTATATATAACAGAATTGGTTCGGTGATATACGTTGTATGAACAAATTAGGTACATATGGGGAGTTTAAAACAATGGGAATGTGTATCGTCTGTTCATATTGGACAGCACATACGTTCCTCGTCGTTTAATTTGTTCGTCGCATAGTCTCTGAATTCAAACTAACAGAGAACAGGTCAAGAGAAATCAACGATTCTGTCAACTCTGGAACCACTTTCTTTTAATATGTTATTTTTTCGGGAATTACCAACTTATTTGTATTAGGGGTGAGCCAATAAAAACTTTTTTTCTTTTTCCCGCACTTGGTATTACACTTATTTTTTCTACTACTTTTTTCTTGAGATTTAGTCGTGCAGGTTTATTACTGTTATTGATATCGCAAGGTTGTTTTCCCTTGTATGTACCAATGGCCTATTTCAATTTCTCTTTTTGGCTCAACAAAACCACTCTACACAGTTAACATATTCTATATTTTTAGATAGTTCGGTACAAATGTTCACGATGACTAAGTAACATAAGATGTAAGCAAAACTTTAGAAATTATTGAGTATATAATGTGCTGGTCATCAGTCAAAATGTGTGTTCACGACCTGCAATGAATGCGTCAAAGTGACCGTAACTATCATTGACCGCATGGTGATGCCCTTCAAAAAACGAGTTAACGTATAGGAAACGTGAACGCATGAACTTTTTAACTCACGTCAAAGCCCAATCAGTGTGAATAAGTTTGGAATTCCTAGTTTAATATATATTACCAACGTTACGAAAGGGTAAATGACAGCTTGCGTGTCAAGTCATGAATTATGATAGATTGGATTTTATTTTCAGTAGGTGTATTCAAAGTCAATGCATTTGAGCTATATTAAAAGAATATACATCAGACTGAAATGACCGATGGGAATAAGCGAATCAATTGACTTAATTTTTTCTTTCAAATACTGTTTGATTTATATATCTATTGTATTTTGAACAGTGAACGTGATGACGGTAGAGAAATGAAAAAAATAACAGTGCTATTGCAGGGTCGAACATATTTTGCATTGTCACATGCGTATAAGCTAAATTCTAATCATTGAAGTACGATATTTCAACAAACTTGTTTCAAAACACTGTTATCCGATGAGCTACATGAATGGGTTGTTTGGTGATACAATATGGACGAAAAAATATATTTTTGTTCGATACTCCTCACTGTAGACTAAATCAAAATATGATTTATCATAAAATAAAATAAATCAATACGCATATGCAATGATTGTTATTGTAAGTATCAATTTAATTACATGCTAATCTACCATAAAAAAAAATGGTTCCATTGTCTTCAATACTAACCATAATTCAACAAATTGGTTACCATGGTATCTTATTTGATAAACAAGCTTGAAATACAAGAATGCCATCAGTATTGTTACAAACAAACCACTTATCTAAAGTGCCGTTTTCTGGAAATTTTTTCATTGAACATTGAACAAGACTTTGTTTTGAACTAGATTACACATTTTCATGTGGAAGCAGAATTATTCATTGACACTTTTTCCAGGCAATGTTACATACATTATTCTACAGTCATTAATAATTTCGACTGCCAATATCAAATAAAGTAATGGAAATTGTGTGCAAAATGACAAAAAATTGCATTTACGAACAATTACAATAGATATCCATGTAAGGGCATTATTTAAAAATCCCAAAATCTTCAAATAATTCATGACAATCAGAGCTTCCCAACTTACACGAACATACTGTTTTTTTACTTCACCGTACGACATTTTCAGATATGACGAGATCTTTTTGAAAGTTGCTACCTCGTTTTATAAAACCGTTATAACGTCTTTAGCAGCAATACATTGAAAGTCGTTTATAGTTTAAAGTCATTATTACGAGTTTAAAGTTGCTATAATAAGTCATTTTATTTTTTGTTATTGGCATTAATAAGCTACCGTATTTACATGACAAATATTATGACGAATTAAAGGATTTGAATTGAAATACCAATGCCCGTTGGAATAGTGCATCACGGTTACTCAACATCGACAATTATAGTTTCAGCGAAGCAATATGACAGTTTATAGTTTCTGACTGAGCTTACATACTTATCTCTTCTTAATAATCTTGTCTGAATGAACGCCATCTTCGCATATTCCACACCAACATCGTTGCGTAATATTTCAAGATATGTCTTCGTTAGTTGATATAAGCCTTTGCAATTCCGTCTATCAAATGGATCATGATATCACACTGCGTTTTACACTCTAATCCCCGTGTGTCAAGTACACGCCACTACCATCGCCCTTCATCCATAGCTGACCACAGTGGCAGTGGTTAAATAAAAAAAATTGTACAACCTACAATTTTTGCAGGCTATTATTTGCGACATGTTTTCGTTGTCTGCAACATAGACATGGCCGAGTATCATGTTCGGGAGCTGGAAACACAGGCTAAAATGTATGCTACCGGCGGCGAAAATTGTCCCGTTGAAGCATTTCAAAATGTATTTGTCCAAATTGCAAAATGCGTTGTTTCAGGGGCCCCGTGTAAATGTAACACCCACTGACACAGTCTGGTATTCGTGAAAATAAATTGGAATCTATGATGAAAGAGATTTCGATAGCAGCAAATTTGTTGACAATTCATACACATCAACTGCGTGCACTGTGTTCGGAAGGAGTTGAAACCAGACACATTTATGTATTTCACGGCACTTAAAAACGAAGCTAGTGTTCGGTCCTACACTAACAAAGTCACCAATAATCAGAGTCAAGGAATATCCAGTATCCTGTCTCGCAGTTTTTGGTATAAAAACAAATCCTCTGATAGAGAAGTGACCGTAGCGATCGAAGCGGGTGTTTCCGACAACGTCATCCGTACCCCAGAAAACACCGGCGTAGTAGCGTCTGGACCAACTCCCGCAGAATCTGGCACCGCTTCTATTTCTAATACCCACAATCAAAGTACACATGCAGCATCTGCTTTGTTCCATAACTGCAGCTTTAGTGGACCAATTAATGTCAGCATAACAAACACAAAATAGAAAATTCGACACGATATTAAGTCCACAGCACATGTTTTCAAAATGG